CTTCAAAAGACTGCTAGAGGTATGCATAAAAAAGTTAAGAATCCATTTTTTTAAAAAAAGACCTTAAAATATATAAAATTAGAACTAGAAGGTACCTTAGAACCAGAGAATGTCAACACTTTAAGAAATCAGTAACAAAAGCATAGACTACCAGAGCAGTTGGGATAATGGAAGATTTGGGAATAAATTTAAAACAAGTAACAGAATCTCATAAGGAGTGCAACCTTGTACCTCATGAAAGCCCTCCCTAAATGAAAGAATCCCACCAACTCTCTCTCTGAATACTTTAAAACTTTTGTCACTAGTGGACTGATAATTGGCTTAAGAGTGGAAAGCTTAAGGGTCAGCGAGGTGGCGAAGTGGACAGAGCACTGGCCCTGGAGTCAGGAGGACCTGAGTTCAAATCTGGCCTCAGACACATAACACTTACCAGCTGTGTAACTCTGGGCAAGTCACTTAACCCCAATTGCCTCATCAAAAAAAAAAAAAAAGTGGAAAGCTATTGGATAACTGACTGCAAGACTGAGAGCAAGACTGAAATTTGGAGAGGGCTAAGTTCTTGTCACAGTAACAGCCTTCATTGCTTGGGTTGTGGCAATATAGGTAAACAATTTACTCTTTGTGTCATGGTTCCCCCGGACACTGAGTAAACTTGGTTTACAATCAGGGAATGATGGAGAAAGAAGAAGGAAAAGGAGAAGAAAGAAGAGTTGAAACAGAAAGAGGACAGAGACTAGAGAAGAAAAAGTATAGAGGGTGAGAGACTGAAGAGAACAGACATAAAATTGGAGAAAGAGAAAAGTAGAGAGATGTCCTTCCAATTCTTCTATTCCTAGGGACTACATCCAAACCTCAGTTTCTTGTCATGCCTCACCCAGAACTCTTGATGAATGATTATGGGCTTCAAGTGGGGCCAAAAAGGTCAATTGGCAATAAAGGGGAAACATTCTCCAGCTGAGAGAGGAAGGACCAAAACTAGCTTTGTAGCCATTAACCTTGGGTATCTCTAGACATGTCCCTACTGAGGTAATTAGATAATTTGCCATTGACAAAAAGGAATGAGAAAAAAGTTGAAACCGAGACATGTAAGAGAATTCTTCCCAATACTTTAGTATGCTAAAACAAATAGGTTAGGAAAAACTAGTATAGCATCCTGAAAAATACATTCCGAGGAATGGACATCTACATAGGAACTGCACAAAAGATGAACCCTGAAAAACCACAGGTTCTAAAGACACTCTCCTAGCAATCGTGATATTTCAAGTCCTCTATCCTGACCCCCAGGGCAGGCAATGGCAATTTAAGAGATAAAGAAGTCCCAAGTATAGGTTACTGATGAAGAAGTTTAGGAAAATGCTACTGCTATCAGCAAATATAGAGGAGTGAGATGGAAATGCAAATAGTTAGGAAACTGCTCAAGGAAAAAGATTTGTGCATGCCCTTAGGAAGAAGTCAGTGTGGTGGAAGCTCAAATAAATTAGATTTGACCTTCATCTATCACATTTTTCATTCATTACACTGAATCTCCAGGGAATCTTCAAATCCTCTTGTTTAAAGAAACTACAGAGATCATCCCACCTACTCTTCTGCTTCTATAAATAGACAAAACATTTATTACATTCAAGGCACTGTGCTAAACACTGGATATAAACATAAACAAGCCAGACAGAACCTACCCTCAAGGAGCTTTACATTCTAATGAAGGAAGACAGCATTTATAGGGGTACTAGAAATGAGAGGTTAGGGGAAGGGATGTGGCAACATGGCAAGTGAGGAGAAAGAGATAATGTTTGCAGTGAGTCAAGGCAAAATGGAGGTGAAGCACTTGATTGGAGTCCTTCCTAAGTGGTGGTTCTGAGTAGGAACCACCAATGAGAGGGGGTCCTGGTACAAAGGTTTCCTAGGGTGAAAATGCAGTAGCCAAGGAGAGACTGTATGCCCGATGCTCGAGACACATGGTAGTACAGGTGGACGTGGAGCATCTCTGTGTCCTGTTTTGAAAAATCTTTAGGGACATTGCATCTAATGCATCTAACAAAGCATCTTCCCTTCTGTTTAATTTAAGAGTTTGAAAAAAAATCAATCACTTACTTTGTGTAAATCCCTGTAGTTGTCACTGAGAATATAAAGATACAGTATGACCCCTAACTTCATAGTGTCTATAATCTAGTACTTTTGCAGCACACATGTAAATAATGACAATACAAACTAAACATGATAGGTCCTTGAGAGGAGTACAAACCAAGGGATATTTGAGGTCCAGGAAGGGTTCATGGAGGACACAGCATTGGGCTAAATCTGAAAAACCGGATAGGATTATAACATGTTATTATAAGTAAAAGTCATTGTTATCAGCAAATTCCTCCTTTACTGTGAACAGTATTCTCTATGTGAATGTTTCCTTAAAACATATATTGTTTTTATGTGCTTCCTTAGAAAGACCTTTCCTAGAATATTCTTCTTTTGAATTATCTTCCTTAGAATGTTCATTTTATTTTTTTTAATATATAATGATGTTGGAATGCTGCTTTGTTATAATGTGCTCGCTCCCTCTAAGAATGCTCTTTGTTAGAAAATTCTATTTTGATATTTAGACTGTTCTCTCTTAGAATGTTCTTTGTTAAAATGTTCTTCAACATAAACTTCATTGGTTCTCTTCTCAGACCCCACCCTTCTCATCTAAAATTTCCTCCTGTACCTACCTCTCCACCCGTTGTGTTTCCAGGAGAAGGAAAGAAAGCCTAGAACCAGACCACAGTGAGAAAGGGTATGTGTACATAGGCAAAGAAATGAGAAGTTGGGTGCTCAAATGACATAGAAACTCCAAAATTCCTTTCCAAGGTTAAATCATTCCCTATACCATCCCTAACTCAATGTATCACTTTTCCAGTGTCCCCTGAAATCTCCCATATCCATCAGAATGAAAGCACTTCCACTCAGTCCTACTATGGAAATATCAAACTGAGTCTCTGAGAGTAGAGAATGAGCTTTGAGGAAGTAAGAGACCCTTAGGATAAGTGTGCCCTTAGGATAACTCCCTGTAGCTGGGAGTCTAATGCTTCCATAACCAGTGATTCATCATATCTCTATCAACATCCACAAAATGATTTATTTAGACTTACTTAACAGTACAGTGTGAGTGTTTTTTTCTTTTCTTTAAAAAAAAAATTTAAATATTTTTATTCAAAGTTTTGAGTTCCAAATTCTACCCCTCCCTCCTTTCCCCTCCCTGAGATGGTAAGCAGATGTAGGTTATACATGTGCAATTACATATAACATTTCCATATTAGTTATTTTGTAACAGAAGACTTGAATAAAAGGGAAAAATGAAAGAAAGTTAAAAATAGCATGCTTAAGTCTGTTTTCAATTAATATCAGTTCTTTCTCTGGAGGTGGATAGTATGCTGCATCATTATTCCTTTGGGATTGTCTTGGATTGTTGTATTGCTGAGAATAGTTGAGTCAGTCACAGTTCTTTTTTTTTATTTTTTTAATGAATAATTATATTAAATAGAATGATAAGAATGAAATAGGTCAAAATTTATGAAATAGCTAATAGAGAAATATACATTAATAAACTCATATTTATGTCAGTCACAGTTCTTCATCAAACAATATTGCTGTTACTTTGTACAACATTCTCCTGGTTCCATTCACTATGCATCAGTTCATGTAAGTCTTTCCAGGTTTTTTAAAATTATTCTGCTTGTTATTTCTTATAGCACAATAACAGTCCATTACAATCATATATAACAGCTTGTTTAATCATTCCCTAATTGATGGACATCACTTTAATTTCCGATTCTTAACCACCACAAAAAAGCTGCTATAAATATTTCTGTACAAATAGGTCCTTTTCCCCTTTTGTGGATGTCTTTGGGATATAGACCTAACAGTTGCTGGATCAAAGGATACATACAGTTTTGTAGCCTTTGGGGCATAGTTCTAAATTGTTCTCCAGAAAGGTTGGATCATTTCACAACTCCACCAACAGTGCATTAATGTCCCAATTTTTCACATCCTCTCCAGGTTCAACATTTTCCTTTTTTGACGTATTAGCCACCCTGGTAGGTGTGAGGTGGTACCTAAGAATTGTTTTAACTTGCATTTCTCTGTTCAATAGTTATTTAGAGCATTTTTTTCATATGATTATAGATAGTTTTAATTTCTTTGTCTGAAAAATGCCTGTTCATATCATTTGACCATTTATCAATTGGAGAATGATTTAACTTTTTTTATAAACTTGACTCAATTCTCCATATATTTTAGAAATGAGGCCTTAATCAGAGATACTTGTTGCAATTTTCCCCCTTTTTTCTGCTTTCCTTATAATTTTGGTTGTATTGGTTTTGTTTGTGCAAAACCTTTTTAATTTTACATAATCAAAATTACCTATTTTACATTTTATAATGCTTCCTATATCTTCTTTGGTCCTAAATGTTTCCCTTATCCATAACTGTGACAGATAAATTATTCCATGCTGTCTTTATTCACTTATAACAAGTGTGAGTCTTTTTTAATGTCCTTTAACAGTACTGGGCCTCATCCTGTTTAATATACTCCTCAGGGTCCAGGTTGGGATATGACAAAAGTTGATTTGATTTAAAATACTATTATACTAAGGGGAAAAGCACTTTGGACAGATTACCAGCCTGTAGAAGTGTGAGGTGTAATAGAAAGAGCCATGTGGGTGAAGTTGGAGGACCTGGGTTCCATCCTAAGCTCTGGTACCTGTATGATCTTGGAAAAGAGGCCTAACCTGTCCAGGCTTCAGTTCCTTATCTCTAAAACAAGCAAGCTGAGCTACATGGCCTCCCAGATCCTTTCCACATCAATATCTAGGATCCTAAGATTGCTGTGCTCCATTTTCTTGTGCATAATATGAGGGGATTATACTAAATAATCTCTAACAACCTGCTAGTTTTAGATCCTATGATCTATGAAATATCTATAATTGTTATTTTTAGGTACTCCTGATTTGCAGGCCCTGCCTATATGCCATGTCTACCCACAACCATACTCGCTCTGATGTGATGACCTTCCTCCTACCCAGCCTCCCAGGGCCAGGGGGCCCAGGACTCCTCACCATCCTTGGTTTGACCTATAGCACCACCTTTCTTGGAAATGGTCTGATCCTTCTTACCATCTGTGCCAACACCTACCTGCACCAACCTCAGTTCTTGCTCCTGGCTCTGTTGGCCACTACAGACCTGGGTCTTGCCCTTTCTATGCTACCCACCATCCTGGATGCTCTGTGGCTCCCAGTCCCTACTATCTCTAGGGATGTATGCCTCCTCCAAATGTGCTGCCTTTATGCTGTCTTTAGTGGGCAGTCCTCCGTGCTGCTGGCCATGGCCTTGGACCGTTGGTTAGCTGTGTGTCATCCTCTCTACTACTTGGCCTTCTTTACCCCCAGCCGCCTTGCCTGGACCAGTCTGGCTTTCATCCTCCGGGCCACCATCCCGCTGCTGCCCACTCCTTTCTTGATATCCTCCTGCAGTGCTCATAGTCTCTCCTTCCCTTTCTGCTTCCCAACAGAAGTGCTACATTTTTCCTGTGGAGGGCTCGGCTGGACCTACGCAGCTGCGTCTATGCTCGCCACAGCCAGTATGGATATAGTCCTCATTACCATCTCCTATTGTCTGGTCTTTTGGCAAGTGATGAAGAGGATATCTCCTGTCGGGCAGCACAAAGCCCTAAAAACGTTCACTGCTCACCTCTGTGCCCTCCTTGCCTTTTATGCACCACTTTTTACTTCAGCCCTATTCCCTGACTCGCTTCTAGGAAGCCTTGCCTCTCTTGGCCTTCTTGCATCCCCTGCTCTCCATCCCCTTGTCTATGGTATACAGTCTAATCAGCTCCGTTGTGGGCTGCTTGGTGTTCTTGGTTGCCCCTCAACTTCAAGGGTTGCCCCCAGCCCAAAGGGGCCACATCCCTAGGACACACCCTTTCCAAGGTGAATGGGGACTTGGGTTCTCATTAGAGGTTGAGGTCCTCTATCACCTCCAAATTCATGTTTCTTACTGCTCCCAGCCACCTAGACATTGGAGAACAGGTGTGCACAAGCATGCACCAGGATGGACTGAAGTTAGATACCAATATGAACTTCAGAGAGAGGGCTATTACTCACTTTCCTATGTGAGTGAATGAAGAGGTGATGGAATCTTATCTTCCAAGGGACTGGAATAGAATAAAATCCCTGGATTATTGTTCTCACCTCCCCAAGCTCAGTTGTAGGGGAATAATTGTAGCAGTACTGCCCAGAAAGAGTCAGATTGAGTATTTATTGAATCTGCCTTTTCCCTGCAGATTCAGCCTGGCAAGACAGGGACTCTTGTTTAATAGGATTTGTGGACCAAAGAAGGAGCTTGAGAAAGGTTCTAGAAATGATTTTGGCAAATATTCTAAAGACCAACATTGATTTTTCTGAAACATGTCATCCATTAGACTTCAAGGACTAAGATAATGGGCATCTTATAGAGATCAGAAAGTGATTCTGAAGGAAATCAGTCACCTTGATTTGGGGTAGAAAATGATGCTCATTAGAGGGAAGAGGACCTAGGCAGAATCAAGAAATGATTTTAAAGGCTCTTGCATCAGTTGATGTTTCACCCAGCTGACCCGATGGTTAATGTCAATGAATGCACATGTATTTCCAGTGTGCTAAGTGCTGGAAAAAACAAAAGGCAAAAAGAAGCCCTATGCACTCAAGGAGATCACATTCTAACGGAGGAGCAAACATACAAACAACCGCACAACAAGAGTCGATTAGAGATGATCTCACAGAGGAGACACACTAAGATGAGGGGAGACTCAGAAAGGCACCTTGGAGGAGCCTATAACTTAAGCTGAGGCTTTAGCTGAGATTTGAAGAAAGTCAAAGAAGCTAGGCATTGGAGTCGAGAAGGGAGAGAGTTCTAAGCATGGAAGACTAAGAGAGACGCCCAGAGTCGGAAGACGAAGGGTCATGCACAAGGCACTGAGGCAAGAAGGTCAGTCTCAATGGATCAGAGGGTGTGGGGATGAGAAAGGTATAAGAAGACTGTAAAAACAGGAAGAGGCTGGGTTATGGAGGACTTTCAAAGACAAACAGGGTTTTATATATTTATATGATCTTGGAGAAAATAGTGAACCATTGGAGTTAATAGAATAGGGGGTGACATGATCAGATGTGAGCATTAGGATTCCCAATTGCGAAGCTCTACTGTGTTTGCTCTGAACATTTTGTGAGGGAAGAAACTGTCCTCTCAGGGATATCACAGGAAACGGACCAATCCCAGGCCAATCTATACCCAGAAGACTGAGGCCTCCAAACAACACAAAGGCTCCACATTCTTGTATTCACTGAAACAGCTCTTCAGAATCCACCTACTTCAGGAAACCTTTCTAGTTCCATGGGAGGGATGCTTTTTTTCCTCTGTCTGTTTTAAACCCATGGCTTCAGTGAACCTCCATAATCTAGATCATACTGAATCCTTCTCCCTCTGTAAAATGATGATCAGTTTTTCATGGCCTGTCTATTTTATTTGTTGTTCACCGTTGCAGGTCAGGACCTTGTTGGAACTAGAGAGGAACTGGTAAACCCCCTACATTCTCACACCAGTTGGTATTGTTGTGAGCAAGGAGACTGTAGTGCAGATCTCAGGCAATTTGATCTCAGGTAGATTATCTGGGACCCAGCTGTCGTCGCCATCAACAACAAGAACTTATTAAGTGCCTGCTGTACTCCAGGAACTCTTTTAAGCCCTGAAGGTATAAATTCAAAAATACAGTCCCTGAGCTTAAGGAAGTCACATTCTAGTAAGGGAGACAATATGCAACCAACTTTGTACACATAAGATATATACAGGACAGATGGGAGGTAGTCAGACAGGAAAGGCTCCAGAAATGCGGGAAACCAGAAAAAGGCCTGAATAAGTCTTAAGCCCTTTTGAGTAAGGAGGACATAAAATTAGCTTTGAGATTCTTGCAAAGAACTCCTGGGTTCCCAGAGAGTGTGCATATTCTTTATATGGTGCAATGCCTCATTCACTATGCAAAGGCTCAAATAAATAAGCTATTTTATTTTTTAAAATATACACATATATACACACATATGTGTATACATATATATTTGTATATATCCCAAAACTCCTTGATGTAACTAGTTTGGAAGTAGTTAAAAAGGAATTTTAAGAAGATAAAAAGCCACTGAGAAAGAGGCTAAAAGCAGTTCAAAGTAAGTTCTCTGGCTGTCCAATTAAACTATATATTTTTTCTTTTAAAAATTTTTAGTTAATAAATTTTTATTTTTCTCTCTCCCACTTCCCTATCACTTAAAAACTCAAAAAAAAGTCATGTTACAAATCATGGTCCCTCCATTATCCATTGCATTATTTCCTCTACCAATTTTAAACTCATGGCTTCCATGAACCCATTGCCTGTTTTTTTTTTTTTTAATGTCTACTTATATTCTAGTCTCTATGTAAAGATTTGTGCATCTGTATCAGTCTAGGAACCATGAGATTAGGGTCTTGGTGTGTTGAACAAAGCATTTTGGTAGCAGGGTCTGTATATCTGTGTCAGACTTAAGAAGAGGGTCCTGAGGGGAGACATTTGTTAGACTGGGGTCCGTGAGGGCAGGGTCTACGTGAAGGCCAATTCAATACAAGTTAATTCAAATGAACAAACTTTTTTTTAAACTTCTATGTTCAGAACAATATGATATGTTCAAAGGGAGAAAAAAATAGGTGACATAGTCCCTGCCTCTATCAAGTTTCTAGTCTAGGAGGAAGAGAATCTATTGATGGCTAGTATACATAATAACACACATGTACACCAAAGGTATGCAAAATGAAGTGCTCTGTGAAAAGGGCAAATTGTCCCTGACAAGGGATATAAGAGAAGGCTTGTTGGCAGAGGTACCATTTAAGTTGGGCTTCAGGGAGCTAAACATATACAAAGGCATAGAAGAAGTAAAGAGGGAATTCAATGTATTGAGTATTTATTCAGTGCCTACAGTATGCCAGGGCTTGGTCCTGGGGAGGGGAGGAGGAGAAGGAGGAGGAGGAGGAGGAGGAGGAATAGAAGCCTTCTAAGCATGAGAAATGGCATGAGTAAAGGCATGAGATGGTAAAGTGCCAAGTCTGCTGAGGTACACAGAATAATTCAGTTGGGTTGGATGTAGAGTTCACAGATCAGAGTAGTAAGAGATAAGACTAGAAAGTTGAGATAGCACTAAATTATGGAGCACCTGGAATATTAGGTAAATGAATTTAGCCTATGTTAGGTAGTTGATAGGGAACCACTCAAACCTTTTTAACAGATTAGTGGGTAGGAGCCATCTGAGGACAGGACTAGGTCTACATGTTTATGTCAGATTGAAGGCTTCAGGTCAGGGTCTCTATGTGCTGTTGGGTCAGATTGGGAGTCCCTTGGTTGTATAATACCTAATTCAAAATTCAATAAACATTAATTACTTGCTTTCTATGTGCAAGATTACATGGGCCTATGCTATTGGTTTTGAAAATAATTGATAATTTTATGTCAGTATAATTGATTTCCTTTGAATCATGTATTTTATTTTAAAGCATTATTCTGAGAAGGGATCCATAGGCTTCAACAGACTGCCAAAAGGGTCCAGGATACAAAATAGATTTACAGCCCCTGGTGAAAGACACTTTCCAGTCTAGTTACTTGCACACAGAGTGACCTAAGAATAGTTATTAGGTAGCTTGACCAAGAAGGAACAGGAACAGTGAGAGGAGATGTAAAAAAAATAAAGTCACAGTATCACAGAATTTTAGAATTGGGAAGGACTTCAAAGGCATGCAATATTTTTAAATGCTTGAAAGTACAAATCCCAAGTAAAGTGTTCCCATCTCTAGGCTTCAGGTCAACTAGGCCTATATGGCATAGTCTTCAACCTTATCATCTTTCTAATGTTCTCTAGTGAGAAAATAATCTCTCTTAATATGGTACCAAGGACTCAACTCAAATTTCCTGATCTCTTTCCTCATCTCTCTTCCTCTCTTTAACTCATTACAACTTACTCCCTGCACCCACCATAATCCCTTCATGATTGTATTAGTTTCATGATATGCCCCCTGGACTTCGATCACATAATCCAGAGAAGCAATGACCGAAACACACTTCACCTTTAGGCAGAGTATAATCTCAGAAGCTGGAACTCACAAGGAAGTATGACATGGAGGTGTCACAATCTGTAGGGAGACCTCTACTGTGTATCATTATCTTTGATAATGCTTTGAGTCCCTAGGCATTGGATGTACTCAATTCTCTCAACAGCTGGATGCCTTTGCCTTCCAAGATGAGGTAAAGCATTATGTGACAAAGCTACCTTAGGGTATTGCTTTCCACATAGTCTCATCACATATTAACTCCTTCTCAGAAATAACCCCATTGAATCTGACTTTGACCTGACTTTGGTTCAACTATTCTTGAACCAAACCTCCTTTAGTCCCTGGATCAAGGTCTCAAGTTTTCTTTTTTATTTTCTGAATTCTGGCATGTGTTTCTTTCAATCGTATCAACTCCCCCACTTCTCCTGAAGCAGGAGAACACTTGTGGTTCAAGAATCATTTTCTTTTCTTCTTCACTCCTAACAACATATTAAAAAAGGTCTAGACATGTTGTTGTTGTTGTTTAGTCATTTTAGTCATATCTGATTCTTTATGATCCCATTTGAGTTTTTCTTAGAAAAGATATTACAATGACTTGCCATTGCTTTCTTCAGCTCATTTTACTGATGAGGAAATGAGGCAAATATGGCTAAGTGACTTGCCCAGGGTCATAGAGCTAAACAACTTCACAACAAAAATGGATCAATAAGCTATGTTAAGTCAAGTTAATAAGGATCAGAAGGGTTAAATGATTTGCTCATGTCATAAAGCTAATAAATATTGGGTCAGAATTTCAGCCCTATTCTTCCTCAGTCCAG